GGCTGCCATCGGCAGAAGAAGGAGGTTTGCTGGAAAGGATAAATCTTCCCTAGGAAAGCTTGCCTGGAAGAAGGGGGTGGAATTGAGAGGAGAGCGGATCTAGAGTACATGGATAAAATGAAAGCAATAGTAAATACAGATAGCAACATTCAACTCCTTTACTCGGGTACCAATTTTAGACCTCCAGGCTAGAAACCCCTAGGCCCAACCATTCCATGTTTGAGCTTTCTCATCTTGCTGAGACAATGATACTCTAAAAAACGTGACGTGTTACAACATGATGTTCTGGACACTGGCCTTAACTGCAGTTTTACCCAAAGGAAACCAGCTAGATCATTGTTTAGGGACTTCACTACTGAGCAAGCAGCATGGTACAAAATGCGTGGAAGGACGTGGGAACTGCTGGCAAAAACACTGGAACGGTATTTGGGAGACCTGTGATTTAGTCTTTGATTCCCCTAAGCAATTCACTTCCCACCCACTCTCTGCCTCTTTTCCAGTATGACTGGAAGCTTTTGGAGCTGTGACCATCTTTCTGCATGGTTACCCAGTGCCCAACATAACGGGACCCCAAGTCTTTCTCAGGGTCTCCAACTAACCACTGGCACATAAAGGATGAGAAACTGTTTAAGGAAGCTACTCTGCTGGGATGCTCAGAGCAATAAAACAAAAGGAGAACTCAAAGGTATCTCAAGTATCTCCAATTCTGAGTCCAAAAGAGCCAAAGATTAAGCCAAGTACCTCTGGCCAGGCTTTTTCATTTAATCATAAAGAAAAGCAATGTTTAAGAAATGATAAATCCATATGAGAATGGCTGTGGTTGTTTCTTCTAAACAAACTAGAGACAACAGATGGTCTCCTCTCGTACAGTCACAAAGGTCAAAATTAGCCACCCCTAAGACTAGCAGGTTCTTGAAATGTTCAAGTGCTTGTGCCTGGTCATTATGACTAATCCATTCTCCAGAACGAGAAAGGTCAAATGAAGAACACCACTCCAAACAGTGCAACAGCTCCTAGCCATTGCTGATGTGCAGTGCACTCAGACATGGTATCAACCGCTCCTCCTAAAACCCAATGAGTCAGCCTTTCAAAAGGGTTTGTCAGCTCTTGCTGTTAGAGCTTTCATGTATTTACTCTGCAATGTTTAAAAATATCCTTTTAAAACCCTGAAAACAAACTATGTATTCCTTACAGAATTTGTCCTTTCCCCACGGATAGCTGCCCAAGAATCTCTCTCTCTCTCATATTTAGTAGAGAGAAAAAATTCTTAACATTTCTTTTCTTCTTCACATACTGATAGCCAAGGCAAAGGCACACCTCCATTTCTAAAGTGGCATACAAGTAAGGAATTTCCGGTGCCTTAGACAACTTTTACCTGCAAAAAGCAGTCAGCGCTGCAGAATACTGGGGTAAGTGTTTTGTGCAACAGATAGGGTACACAGGCACTGGGTGACCTGCCTTTGGTCCCGCAACAGGCGTGCATGCACAAATCCCCTCTCTGTCCCCTACTCTAATCACTAATCTCCCTTGGATGCTGTCATTTAAATAAAAAGGCCTATTGGAAATGACAGGTGAAGAAAGCAGCCCAGGCATGAAATGCACTCTAAAGTATATTAATAGAAGGTTGCCAGACAAAACGGCACAAGGCATTTGATCGCATCGTCTCAGGCTTGTTGTTCATGCTTCTTTGCGTCTGGCTGCGTGATTTCTGCCAGATTCTCGGCTGGAAGAGCAGGCCAGGATTTGCCTGCTTTCCCTAACCCGTGCCGGGCTCAGCTGCAATCATGCAGAGCACTGAAAGAAATCCCTTTGAGTCGGGATTCATTCTGAACATGTAAAACCCAGACAAATGACTGCTTCTCCAAAGTGAATCCCATTTCACAGCAAGTAGGTTATTAGTGTGGAACTCCATACAAGTAGCCCGCATTCAAAAGCCCTCTGCATTATTAATAGAAGATGAGCTTTTGACATCAAAGGAGAACCATTATGTATGCTAAACGGTGGCAAAAATTGTACCCGCACTTCAAACCTTTTCAGTTCTTTGTCCCTTGTAAATCAATCAAGGTTGACAGATGCTTTAAGGAGAGTAATCTTTTCAATGATACTGTCAATGGATAACATAATGGAACATTGTCTCTGTGCTGTGTGAAGACATGGAGCTAGTCAATTATGGACAACACTTCATGCAGTCGCCAGTTTTCACTTGAAGTGCTGCTGTTGAAGTATTATAATCCCAACAAATGGCCACAGCAGCATACAATGTAAATGAGACCTCCTGAAGCTTTGGAAAATTAATTAGTAACAACAGTGGTCCATTCCCACACTTTCAGACACCAGTCTGGTAATGTTAACGATGCACTTCCCCCCTTCCTTTTGAGCAGTCAATAGGGTATATTTACATACACTATTTTTAATCTTCAACACTTTTTCTCCCCCTTTTTGAAAATGCAGGAAGCTCTGGATTCCCTTCCTCTTTCAAGCAGCAAACTTCACCCCTGATATTTCTAATCAGTCACATAACCCACACAGCTGGAGCTGAAAACAAAAGATCAGACTTTCCTACTCAGACATGGCAGTAACATTACTCCTCTTGCTTCTCACATGTATGACTCACTGTGCCTCTCTCCTTTTCCAACATCTCTGTCCCTTGGCTGCCCTGAGAGGAATGTCTTGAGTAGATAGTATAGGAAAAGCTCCCAGTCTCAAGAGATTGGTGGGATACAGTTTGTAAGCCCCTCTTCTGGGCTGAGCAGAGTTTGGGGACGTTCTCCCCTGCACAATACATTAGATCACTACACAAGTAAGTCCCACGTGGAATGAGGCAACAAGGCTCTAGGGGAGTTAACATTGTCTAACATACTGAGTGCAAGCAGCACCCATATCTAATGCACCGTAGTTGGACCTCAGTCTGATTGCCAGCCACTAAAAAAAGGAGAGTGAGGGTCAAACGGGAGAGACTGCTCTGCTTATTTAGCTATTGGCTTTTATTTCCTATTTCCTTTTCTCAAAGATTTTTCCCTTGTCAGTCAAGGCTTGCACTAAGATGACGACTTAACGTCCCATAGGAACAGAGGGAAATTCCACACTCAAGCCCAAAGTTTGTAAGGTATTCATTTGTTAGGATTCATTGCAGGTATTTATTGCTATGATCTGTGAGCGCCCCCTCAGCTATAATGCATTTTTGAAATAAGTAGGTGCAGATAAAAAAACTCAGTCATTAACATCTTCTGGAACAACAGGCTGTTCCTTGAACTCAAGCAGTCTCCCCCATGCTCCAAACAACTGGGAGCAGCTGCAGCTGCTTTTCTGCCTCATTTAGTTTTGGATTCTCATCTTCTGTGCTCTAGAAAGTCTTGTGGGAACCCTCACAGCAGTTGGGACCAGGGAGCTTCAAACTGCAGCAGTCCCAGAAGCCCCAAAGCGCATGCCTTGGTCAATCAATACCGTGGGGCAAGAGAGGAGGCAGGAGCAACCACACACCCACACTAGGCATGACCAGGCCAGCTGCAACTTCCGGTAGATCACAGGAAGAAGAGAGAAGTATTTTCTCTACTACAGTCACCCTCCTGGGTCTAAAAAAAAAGACAGTACTCTTGCACTGGTACAGCGAGAGCCACAGCAAAGGATATCTTTTAGCTAGCCTCAGAAAAGTGAGAGAACGATCCAACCTTTTTCCCCACTCGTATAAGCTGAACTACCTTAGAACAGAGGGACTGAGAGGAATCAGGAAGTTTCAGTTCCTCCTTCCTCTTGCTGGAGCAGATCTGGCTAGGAAATACAGGCACAACTTATACCCATCCTTATACCCATCGCCTACTCATCATCTCCATAGTGCAAAGCAATTGCACAGAAAAGTCTCTGAATATGCGCAAACACAAGATACAATTTCTCTACTGCCCCTTCATGAGAAAGCTTTAGGCTGGCATTTCTGCCCTGATGACAACGGCCGCCTTTGTGATTACAGTTTCTTTACTGTGCAGACTTGGCTGCTTGTGTGTCTGGCACTGGATTTTGTTTCTCTAGAGCTAAGCGCATGGAGCTCTGCAGGGTCCCTCTCCGCCACCCACCACCTTTCCCACAGCCTGGTTGAAATGGCAGCGGGGAGGAGGCAGCCACCATGCCCAGCTGTCCCCATCTTTGAGAGGAGGCCCATGCTTATCTCACAGTACCAGAAGGAGTCATACCTGGACACAGTCACAACGCACTGGACCAGACTTTTAGCTTCGCTGACTTTTGCGGAACTACTGCAGTCAACACTGGCTGAGGATCAGTTCTATTCTATTTGAAACCTGCTCCAAATGCATTTCCCCTCTTCAACTCATTTACAGATGTTTGCCACTTATTTCCAGTGCCCAGAGATAACTACACACATGCTTTCTTCCAAGCGATTGCAGACTTTGTTGCAGAACAGTTTTTCCATGGTCATAACAAAGAATTTCAAAAACATATTGTCTTTGTCACAACTTTCAATAGAAAATTATCTGACCTTTTCTTTCAAGTTTATCATTTTGGCTTCCATTTGAAATTATATTATTAAACATATAAGTCAAAAGGTTTGCCAATGGGATATAATATAAACACTGAAGCAATAAAGCTAATCAAGTTAATCAAAATACAATCTTTTCTTCTGACTATAACTAAATGTTCCAATAAATCAGGACCAAAGCTTCCCTTTGGGCTTTTGGTTCTAATTCAGGACAAACCCAAATGCATGCATTTCTCATGGAATTCAAAGCCCCAATATTCAACTAAATATGAGATTTTATAACATGGAAGATGAAGCTCCTGCTTCTGTGCATGTGTCTAATAACAAAACATAAGATCACAGCTTACTACTTTAGGAGAAAGTAAACGTAAAAGGAAAGACGGTGGCTAATCAAAAAATATTTACATAGTCCTCTCGTCATATTAAAATAAAATTCAGACAATACAGTTAAGCCAGAGAGTCATCATTAAAAATAAAATTAGAGAAAAAATGACTTAAGAGAAACATTGCTTACATAGGAGAAGTCTTCAGCATTCTGACAAAGTAGCTTGGGGAAAACAGCCTGTCGCTGAAATCTTTCCTCATCTTCAAAGATGTTCCCATACATGAAGCCATTCATCATGGTGGAGTGGGCATGGATGTCAATATAGAACTCCAAGTTAATCTTCTGTTGAGGGAAAACAAACAAACAACAACAAAAATCAAAACTCAGCATCTCAGCATCAAATAAATCACAAGTGTGTTATGTAGGTGCAGCCTCCTGTAAATGCAAGACTGCCTTCCTTAAACATAACTGCAGTACCAGCATCAGAAAGCCATGCTAAACACATTGCTATCGAGCATCCAGCTGCTCATGCCTTTTTGTGGGTGCCTGTCTGACACAGCATGGGACCACATTGGACATCTCCCACCTGTTCTGAGCGAGCTGGCACATTTATGCAGTACAGGATACCATGCAAAATAGAGCCAAAGTATTATCCTTTGCTTTGTCACAGGGCTCAGTGCCTCTGCACTGATAAAAATACGCACCTTCCAGTTCCAGAGCGAGCTTGTTCAGACATAGCTTGGCTATCTCTGCATGGCTCTGCATTGCAATATGCAGATGTACCTTTTCTGCCAGGAAAAATGGGCTCAAAATTGTGTTTAAAAAAAAAAACCCACCAACAAACTTTCTTCCGCATCTCCACTAGAGTTTATTTCAGTTTATAAGGAGAAATACCCCAATTTTCTAAAATTACTTTACATCTGGAAATTCAGCCTACTTAGCCTCCCTCTTTTTTTTTTTTTTTTAAATGCTCCAGTACAGAGCAAAACACAAAAAGCAAGTGTCTTCAAAACCCCTCTGCTTGTAGCTTTTATTTGATTCTGTAACTACTTGTGCTTCAGAGGAAAACAGCAGGACCCCCAACACTGAACCTCCTAATCTCTGCATACCCTTTCGGGATCAGCTTCTCCACATCTGGTTAATTACAAAGTAAGTCCTCATAATGCTCCAGATTTAAGCCTTAGTCTCCAGACACGAGTCTCCTGGTGCTACAGGAAAAAAGGTCTCTCCCTCACCTGGCACCTCTTATTTTATTTTTCCGATCTGAAAGCCTCAGATTTTCAGGCAACAAGCTAATATAGCAAGGGTCTCCACTTAGCATCTAACTTCTCAGGGTCAGGAGAGAGGCTGCAATAAGTCATTAAGACTAAGATGGACCATGACCAGGAAGCTCTAAGAAAAAGTTGCTCAAATCTCCTGTCCAGGGACCCATTTTTTTCTTCACATAATGTCAAAGCGACATTAATTTCGCTGCCATCATAGGCAGAGATAAGATGTTCACCCTGATTACCACATGCAGTGCCACTGACATCCATGACAAGGCAACACCCAGTACTAAACAGCAGATGCCACTGCACTACTCAGTTTCCCAAACACTTATGGCTTCTGGTGCTGAGTAAACAGTGGCCTGACCAGACACTGACAAACCTACCTCCATCACCTGGCCGCTGCAAGGCCACTAAGAACCATTTTCCCTGTGACTGGAGGGTTAAAACTCAGATCTCCTTGTCCCAAGAGCTCAGATGCCAAAAGGTGGAACAACAGAAGAGAAGTCCACTTGCAGCAAAAGGTTATAATGCTAAGCCTGATAGCTCTGGTAGCCTTCAGTGGCAGATGGGGACCCTGGCCACTAAAAATGCAACACATAACTCTTAGGCCCTGCCTCTAGTCTGCATACTAAGCTTGCTCTGGATAAGGAGTCAAGCTGGAGAATACTGAGTTACAAGGAAGTCCAATGTAATACAAAAACAGTTCATCTGACAGCGGTGTCAGCTCTTCTGGATAGTCTCTAATGGGGGTAGAGCATCATTTGGTATGCAGTACTAGTATGATACAGATTTACTTTCCCTTGGCAGAAAACCAGTGTACAATACACAGTGACTATTTAGTTTAATTAAACAGCCTAGAGAGAGTAATATTGCATCTTATTAAGTCTCTTCTATGTTAAGATGTTAGCTAATGCAATATCAATATCTGACCATGCTTCATAGGAAAAGGAACATTTGATTGTATTTCACTCTAATACAATAAATTGTTTGCTATTGCCAAAACATTACGCCATGCTATAGAGGACCGACACTGCAATAAACTACACATCTGCTATTTGGAGATACAACACTAAGGAGAAAGATTATCATCGACAGGATGAAATACCACATAGGATTTTCTTTCTCTCCAAGCATACAGAAATTAAAATCAAGACTGAGTAACAATATTCTCCATAAGATAATTTTCCCATCAGAACTTGATGAGATCAGGTGCACACTGAAAAGAGATCAGGTGCACACTGTTTCCTTACAAAACAGAACGATACATCGTGATCTGATAATCTAGTTACACTGGATATTTCTAAGGCACAAATGTCCTTAGAAGTCAGTGACCCAAGATGTTTGTTTTAGCACAATTAGACACAATTCTTTATAGGGATATATTTACTAATAAAAAGTTATTGAGAGACACAGAAGGATATATAACAATAGACTAGTATCACTTCCATCTTAAATAACAAAATTAAAGGTGCTGGCTTGAACAGTATGATTTGTGCTGAGGTTTCATACAATTCTTCATCCACAGCTCTCAAATAGTTTTCAAAAAAAGGTGTCTACTAACAGGGACACAGAGACGCACATTACTAAAATAACTTGCCAAAGGTTAATCCAACAGGAAATTCACATCTAGAACAAGGGTATTCTGAGCCTCAGCATACTATTCAACTGATCAAGTCATGCAGCCTAACATAGTATCACTATGCTAGAGAATGTTTTCTAAACTCTAACATTCTCACTAAAAAATTTGCTGATAAGTGTTTTGGAGAATTTACAGGAAATCTCTTGGGATGCTGATATTTCTTTGAAGATCTTTTTTTGATTATCAAAAATATTTGAAGATAGTCTAGTTATAATGGATATATGTAAAGGAAGAGTGTTCTTCACAGACATCATCTTCACCTAAAGATTAAACTTCCAGATCATTTATTTGGAAATCATGACATGCAACAGATGAATAATTGGATGAATGTTTTAGCTCATCATTAGGATAAATGATTTGTTACAAAATACTTCAAAGGCCATCTTTTAAGTCAGCCAGCAATAACTATTCAACTAGTTCTTCTGGTCTTTGTTCCTTACCCTCCTACTGAACATATCAGATCACCATTTCATACATTCCTGCCCACTCAATGTAGTCAAAATTTGCAATTGTCCATCCTATTCAGTAAGCTGTTAAACATAGCTACAATAATTGCCAGTTAGACGTACTATTCCCAGACACTGCTGTATGTGAGCAGAAGAGTATTTCAGTGTTTCACGTTTCTTTTCTTCTGATCACATTCATTATTTTATCAAAAGGAAACATCTTGAGCATTCTCCATTAGAGAACAGAATAACTCTGCATTGTTAATACAACACGAGTTTCTAATAGAAAAATTCTCTTTATTCACAAGGCACAAAGATATTCTCACCTTAAAATGGACAATAGCAGCCTAGTCATTGGGACATTACACACAAAGTTTGCCTCCTTGTGCCCCAAATAGTAAAAGACCTGTTTGCAGATGTGTTTTGCAGAAGAATTAACATATGTTCCTGAACAATAAGGATATTTCTTTCCATCTCTTCCTGTGTGCATAGGAGAGAGACTCCAGGACACACATATTCAGAAGTGCTTTACATGTAGGAAACGTTTCACCCACAGCCACACCACAAATTTGAGCTAGGGAATAACGGATACAAAATTAGTTTCAAATTTCAGTTGAGGTTTGCTGGAAGCTTTTGACATAATTATTGGCCTCCTGCAATTTAGGCAAGATCACAGAACTAACATTTTATTAGCTATATAATGTCACCAACTGGTAGGAATTTCAGAAAAACAGCAGAGAATTGACCTTCTGAAATCGTTTCTCTTGGAGGTAAGGAGTATTGCAATGGGAAAATTAGGTTAATAAATGTATGTGTGCATGTTACATGTGCTCATACAAACACACTTTTCTAAGATAAACCAATCCTGTGTTAAGTCACAGGGACATCTCACAGGCTCTGTGCAACAGAACTCACTCCGATTATGACTTATAACGCAGTAGCGTCTACAAGTAAGAATGGGAATAAATTTAGATGTGGTTCAAAGTCTCACAGTCACATTTGCTTCAGACTCTAAGCAGAAAATAACGAACAGCCAGGCTCAAGCATCTCTGGCTGCCATAGCTGCCTTCTGAGAGGCTTACAAGTTACATCCTACAAAACGATATTAAACTCATCATTTTCTGCTTTAGAGGTGGGAATGCAAAATAATTCAGATGCCTTATAAAAATCATCATGCAATTTAATTTCCTCAAGTGTCTCATCTTTGTGCTTACAAGCAGCAGCAGTGATTCTCTCTCTCTTACGCTACCTTTTTTTAAGAAAAGCGGTAATTATCTGGATGACCCAGCTTACAGAGATGGAAAAAGAACAAACAAAAGCAGACTTGGTCTTTGTTTTCTACCTGTGTCAAAACAGAAATCATTCACCGGCCTGACAGAGACAGCGATCGAACCCCACTTTCTGGGAAACAGACAGCAGTTAACCTGCTCTCCCTTTTAAGAGAATGGTCTTTGCCTCTTCTTACCACTTACCATATTAAAACAGAATAAATAAATAAGTAAACAAATTTTTGCTCTAAAGTTCATTTGAATCCATTTGAAGCCTTTGTGACACACCCTTTTCACTGTTATCCTGGGACAGTCTAAAGTTTCTAACAGATCGAGAAATATATATATAAATTAGGAAGGAGGAAAAAAAAATGAAAGAAACCATGGAAAAAGTAAAAGCTCATATTCACTGTCAAGATATGAGATAGCCAAAGCAGCACAGAAACTGGGAACTAGTGCATGTTGCTGTGTAGAAGGTTTTGAGAAAAATACATTCTCACTTGCCTGAGAAATATATTCTCAGCTTCCATTAGCTGAATACCTTTGGAAGGTCAGTAATTAAAAAGGAAAAGGGAAGAATGATGTTAATAGCTAGTGCTCATAGGATTAAAGTTATATTTTGAACAGTACAATTACAATTCTTAAGGAAATAGAGATTTAAAAAAAAAAAATCAAGAAAAACTGTAATAAAACGATAAATGTGCATTGAGCCCAGAACATG